TAGTTGCCTCTACATTCAAATTGCACGCAACGGACTAAAATACTGACATTCTGTTCTCCACAAGTCACAATTTACGTTTTCACCGTTATGCCCCAAATGCGGTACAACCCGAGAGAGCATTGAGCATTTCCTCTTCGCTTGCCCCGCATGTCAACACCTCCGGGCGCGACTCGCACACCAACTGAGAAGACGCGCTTTCTCCCTACGGGGCCTCCTTGGTACTGCCGCAAATCTGAAGCACACCATCTGCTATGTCCACGCAACGCGACGCATGACATCCACATTTGGAAGGACCGAACATGCGATCAACGAGGGCAAGTAATCACGGAGCTGCATCCGGCTCGCGATGTTTCTCAGCACGACACTATTTGTTACAACATGTTATCTCTACGTCTGCTCCAGGCATGGAGGGAGTTTCGACGGATGTCAGGGGACTGACGGACGGATTCCCCCGTAGCAAGAGGCGCCGAGAGCCCTGGGGAGCAACCTCCCTTGAACGTGCGGGCGGTTTAGAACTCCGTGCCTTGCGTTTGACTGCCAGGAGCGTTGTGTTTTTTATTTACTGAAGCACTCCTCGTCGTCCGTGTTACTATACAAACCCTTATTATATTCTACTCACTTCCCTATACTTCTTACAGCACGCCCCTTTTTGCTCCCACACCGGGAGACCTAGTACTTATCGCGCAGTGGCAGTAGACTCCCAACATAGCATACGGACACATGTATTGTCTACCATAGGGCTATGCCCTCACGGACAATAAACGAGGAGGCAGAAAAAAAAGTCACAATTGACTTCCCACTCTATCTACAGGTCTCCGGTAGCATTGGGCGCTAGATTTGCCATTCATCGAAACATCTACATACCCATAAAGTGGAGAAGGTGTCAAGTATAGTCTCGAGCAGTGGGTTGCGCCAGGCTTGAGGGAGCTCGATGCAAGGAATTCGAGGTCGTCGGGTAATGTGAGCCCATCATAGTGGCCAGGACAAAGCGCGGGTCCCTGGACCTAGGATCGTACTGGGGAGAAAGAAGAGTTTGTGGCCATTCTCAGATCACTCGTCATCGACTATTGAGAAGTAACTGAAGCCGCGTTATACACGTGGTTTGTAGTACAGCGTGCGAGGACGACGACAATGATGAGAGCTGAAGTACTGAATTACTGACCCTTCGCCATGGTGCCCATTTTAGCAAGGTTGTGTCGGAACTCCAAGCTGACAGCCGTCTAACTGATCTCTTGTTCGCGGCTCACCAATAAATTCCGCGCACCTCGCGCTGCTCGGCCTCTGATGTCTGTAGACAAGGCTTACGGAGCAGCCGAATCTCCGCTTTGACTTCGAGGGACGGGATGGAATCCACGAACGGTTGAGAATGTCGCACATTCATCAAGATACCGCAGGGCCCCATGAGCAATGGAGTGACAAACGGTGATATGTTCAAGGACCTCGTTGAGAAGGACCGCCGCCCTCGATTGGAGAGTTCGCATAAAAGTAGGCGCCCTCTTGGAGCAACGAAATAACATTACTGAGACGTCATACAGTAACTCCAGTAGTATCTCCCATAGGATAATCCTCATCTACGATCCCTTCCCTGGCTGCTCCTGCGGCTAGTTGCCGGAGTATGTCGGCAAACACGACAGCAGTGACATTGATCACTAGCGGACTCTCATCCACGATCGCGCTACCCACGGGCGCGTAGATCTGATTTATGATACCAGGACAACATTGCTCAAGGGTACCGAGGGTGGTTGTGAACTGCATTGTACGCATAAGATGAGGTGTCTCTTCTAGATGCTCTAGTTTCAATCGAAACATGATGGGTATAAATTTGATCGACGTACCATTATGCCGAGAATTCACTATGTTGATACCCTGATCATGCACTGCTAACGTCACCGCACGCTCGATATAGACCCCGCCTGGAGAGAGCGTAACAACTGGAGCGTCCGTTCCCTCCGGTATGGAGGACAAGTCGGAGGAGCCTATGGTTTCTTGATGACCTGAGTTTACATCACCTGCATTTCGCCGTAGACTGTTAGGTCGCTGTTGGATATGAATACAAATTGATATTGACCCGTGACGGTAGTGGGCTGGAGTAGCGCTCTCCTCTTAGCCGCATCAGAAGATCTCTGAACTTCTTTGAGCGACTAGACTCGGTCGACAGAGGTGTTTACAAACCTTGGCAGACGTAAGTAAAACTTTTGACTTTTTCTTGAGGTTCCTGACGTCGCTCATCACCTTGGGAGTAATCTTGAGAAGTACAGGTCTGCTGGTATACTCCTCTCGTGTATCTTGAACTAACACCCGAAGCCTAGTCATGAAAAGCACCATCAGCAACGAGAATCAGCTTGTAGAGCACCTCAGCGTACGAGTCGTATTCCTCCAGCAAATCTTTCACCTCCTGGTCGGGCTTATAGTCCCTGTGATCTTCGATGACATCCAATACGTTGGACAGGTGCTTATCGGTCTTATCGAGCCTATGTGTAGGACCACGCTTGTATGCAAAAGTGACCACGGCATATACACATTTGAGAACATCAAAAGGATCAACCATGGTCGTACTGTCCAGCAGTCAGAGGTTCTTGTTGACCATAGGAAGAGGGGAACGTGCCGACATCAAACCAGTGCATCACTTGATATAACCCCCAGCCCTGCGAGGGGCGCGAGGGGACATCGTAATATAATGCTTTTCCATGCTGGGAATGAATCTACAAAAATAAGCAGAACACGTTTCGAAGCAAGTACAATAGTATTTTCCGCTCAATTCATGGGTCAGAAGATCAGAATTATGCAGTGAAGGCACAATTACAGCCGCGCGGCAACAAGGAACTCGTATGTCGACCGTATTTATCTTTGCATTGGCAAGACAGACAGAACCTTACGCATGTACCCAGTTGCTGTGTGAGAACTTAACAAAGCATCCGCGATTCGGGACTCGTGAACCGTCCGCGACCATCTGATAACACAGAACGCATCGTCATGACAAAATCTGACGCCGCTAACAATCACGTATAGACATCCAAATCAACGCCTTTGTGTCCCCAGCCGTGGCATTCCCATGCCGCATCTAAGGACACGAGGGAGGTCGGACTGCCTTGGACATGCGTGAGCAAGATATCGAAGTCCAGTAGATTAGCGCCTTACGTCGAATTCAACATAGGCAAACAAATCCGAGCTCGATATCTGACGCCTTGGTTTCTTCATGCCAATCCATCCTTATTCTATATGACTGATGCAGTACAACTACCACAAGGCTCATCTAATGCGCCTGCGGGTCGTGAACGCGGCGCACTGACTTCTTCTGAGATTTGGTGGCGCGATCACCAGCCTTGGCTACGAGAACGCGGATATCTCCTACGTCCGCGCTACACACTCGACTGGGTCCCTTCGTGGAAAATAACCGGAAAACGATGGTGGCGATGTGAAGATGCTTACGGTCCGACGGTAAGCACACAGAAGCTCTCTGTAGCTTTCTTACGTGACATTGTCTAATCTAGAGGGCGGTTATAATGGATGCTGCGAGAGCGTTGGACGGAGAGATGGTAGTTCTCAAACAAGTGCGAAAGTCTCGACATCCATACGAGGTCGACATTGCTGTGTACTTTTCGTCTGAGCCACTCAGATCAGATGCACGAAACCATTGTATACCCGTGTATGAGGTGCTGGACGTTCCGGATGATCCCGATCTCCACTTACTAGTTATGCCATTTTTACGTCCCTTCGATGATCCTCGAATGGAGACAATAGGCGAAGCGGTGGAGTTCTTCAAGCAGATATTTGAGGTATTGCTTGATACGCTCCAGCTACCTGGTCTAATTTTGTACCACAGGGCTTGCAGTTCATGCACGAGCATCACGTCGCTCATCGGTGAGTACTCAGACAGGAACCAGTACAGCGGGCTACCACAATCTGAAATAAACAAGAGATTGCATGGTGCTCAATATCATGATGGACCCTAAACCATTGTATCCGGACATGTATCACCCGCAAGTAACTGACATGAAGCGCGATTTCTCTGGTGATGCCAAACGCTTTACACGCACAAAACGGCCAACAAGATACATGCTCATTGATTTTGGCCTGTCAAGGAGATACGGAATTGAAGAGATATCACCGCTCGAGGATCCAATTTGGGGAGGCGATAAGACCGTCCCAGAGTTCCTCAGGTCTAATGATCCATGTAATCCGTTTCCGACCGACATATACTACCTTGGGAATATGATACGTGAAACATTTCTTGAGGTATGTGATTATGATCCCGGTGATTGCTGTTGATCATAACGTTACGGCTAGGCTACACGCGGTCTCGAGTTCATGGAGCCATTGGTCACGGACATGGTTCAGGATGATCCCTCTCGGCGACCTCCCATCCAGCAAGTGGCAGATCGCTTTGCGAAGTTGCTTAGCTCCCTGAAAGGCCGACAGCTCCGGTCCAGGTTGATCTATGTCAAGGAAGACCCTGCACTTAGATTCTTTCGTGACGTCCGACATTTTTTCCTCACGAGTTATTACCTCTTAGCTAGATACCCTGCTCTTCCTACCCCCAAGTCGTAGCCATTGTTAATCGTTATCAGCCGCTCCCCATCATGCATTGTGTGTTCCACTTGTGTACACGATGCTCTCCTACGTATTGTATATTGTCTCCACGCGGCATTCTCGGAACGGGTACTGCCTATCCCACGATCTCTTATCGTGATGGAGACAATGTGACTATATCCGTGTGTTCAAGCGACTTCCCTCGTTCGCATGGACCCACAAAGCAGCATGCCAGGTATAGTCATCGCCATCCCATACGGCATGTCATCCTCGTGTAAGGCAGCTCGGGAAGCTGCTCACTTATCGCTGCCATGCATCCATCTTGCCAAGATGTCCTGGGTTTCTTGGCCGGTATATTTGTTGATCTGTAACTACAACTAGCAGCGTAAATGCGGACACACTGGTCACCTTTGTCCGCTCATCGGCTTGAGACACATTGATTCGTGGTATACATCATCATAACCTTACAAGCCCGTTTAGCTCAGTGGTAGAGCGCGCCACTCGTAAGCGCGGCGCAGCACTGAGCCCAACGCAATGGTGAGGTCGGTTGTTCAATCCAGCCAATGGGCAATTCTTTTTGTCCGTGGCTTGAGCGAGCCCGAAAGCCTTGATAACGCGTTATGAGCTGTTCCTCACTTTGCTTCTTCCTAAATTAATTTGTGTAGTTCCTCGGGCGAAGCTAGGGCCTTCCTCCCTAACTAATAGGTGTGGAGGAAGTTGGATGGTGGACGAATAGGTTTGCGCAGGAGCTCGACCCGCTAACACAACACCCAAGACTGTACACTATACTGATCAGCTACTATAGGCGCCATTGCATCTTTCATAGGAGCTAAGGTCGCGGGACGTGGATAGAATTAACTATCGCGGTGTTGAACCAATAAGGCTCCATACATCCGCGGCATTCTGAAATGGAACACGCTTTCGAATTTGCGGGTCCAGGATGTACATAGTAGAGGTGGATATTATTGACTCTGTATCGTCGAATAGGGGACAACAAGAGCACGAGATGTAAGACTCGGCTGAGATGGGTTGCACGTCTAAGATATCTACCAGTGCTGCAACTGTAAGCGAACTCATCAACTTCGTCGCACACCATCTGCGCTGTGCTCGTCCTTGAACGATGCCCATACATCTTCCGTCGCAGCTCTGATCCGCTGTTTGACCGAGCCGAAGCTATCCAGGGCAGGTCGAACGTCGAGCGAAAAGACAGGTGAACCATCGGACTCTGGGGGTGCAGAGTAGTAATCAATCACATAGCGCACTTCCTCGCCTGTCTGGCGTCGGCGCACTACCCAGTCGTGTCGGTCAAACGGCGGTTCGGTGCTACATGTGATTTTGTAAGTTATGCAGAGCATGGCGACCGAAATGGGTACGAACTTGAATCGTGAAGGAAGTAGCCAGCCGGCAAAGAGCCAGAAACGAGCTTTGGGTGACAATTCACCCGGACGTCCCTTGAACCGCGTCAATTGCGGGTTCTCTATTCTACAGCAGAGTAACACTTAGGGGAAGACATACAACAGGTTACGGCTCACTCACGGGTTTTCCTTACGCTCCCACTTCACAATCTCATTCCACGCCTGCTCGTTCAAAAAGTTGTGGATTTGCACCATAGTTTCGACGTGTTCCTCGGGCGTCTCCCACCCCTTCCGCACGAGCGCATTGTGGAATTGCTGCGGAGAAGGGTACTCCCATCTCCGCTCATCGTCACGAGGGATGGAAGAGGTCTCGCGGTCCGTAGGGAGAGCGATAGTTTGTTCGGAAGCAGGCGCTTGCGACAGGACGGGCATTTGGTTCAGAGGGTTGAAGGAGTCGGATTCATGACTGATGGGGCATTCAGCAGGGGGTTGCACATTGCGGGTGGAAGAGCGGACATCGTGCGGGACAGGGCATTCTGCAAGGGATTTCGAGCTGCTCGCCACTGGCTGAGGTTGCTCTGACTGGTGCATGGGACAGCCCGCTGGAGGTGATGCCGGCACTGCGGAAGCCTGTGAGGTAGCTTGTCCCATTTGGAGGGATTTTAATATGATGTGCAAAGAAAGTGGAAGGGGGTTGACGGAGGACACGCTGAAGCCTTTGCGGCAAGAAAACCTATGAACAGCGCTCCGGCGTCCAACCCGCGCTCCGGCTATTTCCGTCCGATCATATTGCGTGTCTCAAAATAGCAAGTCACGTTGTGGTTCATTCCGCGAACTCTCGATGGTCTTTGCTGGTCTTTGCCGACTTCACCCATGCGCGACACAATGCCTGGCCTTTCCTTCTAGGGTACAGCATGTCATTTATCTACGTGTAAACATCTAACTAACGTGTGGTATGATTGTCCTTGTGATTGTGTCAGTCTGAGTGCGAGACGACTATCTATGCAAGTCCAGCCTCGGCCGCGAGCGAGTAGAACGCGGAGTGCTGCTTGGCCAGCAAACTGTGAGGTGATTCAAACTCGATTACCTAGGTGATACACAAAAAATAAGCCCTCGTCAAGTTTCAGCGAAATGGAGCTCGTACCCTGCCCGCATCTAGTACCAGTACTTTGTCAGACTCTAAGATTGTATTGATACGGTGCCTGGGGCAAGAGATGTCTCAGTGTAAGTACTAAATAAATCATGATTGAAACGTACGCAATCGTCAACATCGTAACATCCTTAAACAGAGGACCATGTATAATCTCTTGTATTGCTCGGTCGGTGTCAAGATCGACCGCAGACGTCGCTGTGATGGGGGGAAGGTCAGTATACACCCTTAGTCATGCTCTCTTTGATGCATACCCTCGTCAAGAACAAGGATCTTTGACTGCAAGATAATCGTTAGTAAGGTAACGTCTCCAATTGAACAGATACAAACCTTGCGGAGGAGTGCACGGGCAAAGCACAGTAGCTGCCGCTGTCCCGAGGACATGGACGACCCGCCCTCCCGTACGGGCGCATCAAGCCCTTCTGGCAGCGATGTGACGAAGTCTTTTAAGCGGGCCTGGGTTGTACAGGTATCAGTCAGGAGCACTGCGGCGTCGAACAATGGACACACCTGTTCCAGTGCAGTCCAGATATCGGCGTCGCTATGTGCGCTAGTTGGATCGATATTATCCCGAATGGTACCCTCGAAGAGATCCGGACTCTGCGGCACAATAGAGATTGCGGACCGTACTGTTTCGGGACGCGTCAGAAGACACTCATCGACAAGTCTTAACGACTCACAATCGTGCAAGCCTATTCTAGTGATATCTACACCATCTATGAAGATAGTACCCGCGGCGGGTTCTATGATGCGGAACAGTGAAAGAAGCAGCTGTTTTCTTCGTTGGGTAACGGCTTTCTAAACATGATCAATCCACCTACCGATGATTTTCCTGATCCTGTCCTTCCGCAGATACCGATCTTTTCTCTGTGATTCTAGAAATATACACTTTGTCAAGAATGTTGGAGAGAAGTAGGTTGCACAGCGACCTACAATCTTAACATTGAGGTCCTTCAGTACCAGGTCAAGTTCCGGACGATAACGTGTCGAATATTCACTATAACGCGTGTGCAAGTGAGTCAACGGTGGTACGGAATGCGCATTCGTTCACATACCGGAACTCAATCTCACCCTTCAACGGCCATCCCACAGGGACAGCGTCAGCAACTTCAGCAGGCGCCTCGGGCGGTAGCTGGATGTAGTGCAAGATACGCTCAACGCTGACAATGTTCTGCTCGACTTCGCTAGCAGAGCGGACTAGCCAGTTCTGGGCAGCACGATGTTTGACATCAGCACGAAAAATCTAACGTTATGGCTCTTACCAGAGATCCGGTAGTGTTCAATGCATACGAGAGCACAAAACCGACAAGACCAGCGTCTACACCAGTCGTCACGAGCGCAACAAGCGCGAAGATTGCAGCAAGGAAGATGATCGCCGAGCCTACGAACTCGAGGCGAACAGCCAGCCATCGGTTAGCGGAGATACTGAGTTCACTACCTTAGCTGGCATGTTGTGATGCAGAGACAATGGACGCACCTCGGAAGGTAGCAGATTTGATTGTGGTCGACGCGGTGCTCATTGTTCGCGATAAAGATGCCCTGTTGGTGGAAGGCGCGGATCGTAGACAAACCATTCAAAGATTCGGAGAACCATGCAAAGATGGGCGAACGGGAGACCGCATCGAGACGTTTGAGCTCTCGGGATGTAGCGAGGTAATACCTGAACATTTAAGGGGATTGAGTAAGTTTTACGTAGTCAGCAATGTCTCACATACGCCATGACGCGGAGGTAGAACCATGTCAAGGGAGGCACTGCAATGAGCTAAGACAAGGGTGAGCGGTATAGACAAGAGGGGATACAATGATGACCTACGAATAGCGGGAAGCTCCAGCCAATCACCAGCACGATCATGGCCGTCACACAGAGTGTCCTGACGGAGTTTTGGATGACCTGCATTGTCGCCAGTTAGCCGTAATTCATGATGATATGAGATATGCCACGTACTCGCGCGAGGATTTGATCGACGACGTAGGTATCTCGCGAGAACAAGTTGAGTATGCTGTCATCTCTGGTCGGCGCGCTTCGCACAGGACACGTCAAATTACTCACCGGCCAGTAGGCGTCAGCTCAAAGAAGCTTAACGGGGCACGCATAACGGCATAGAGCATCTACCGGCATAGGTGAGCACCCCGAACCGTTGTAGCATCGCATTGGACAAACGCACCGAGTCATGCAAATGTTGCGCACTCCGGATGGAGCACAGCACCCAAATCAGGATCGCCGCAATCGCACCTAGGATCGTCGACGAGAGCGAGAACAGCCCGTAATTCAAGAGATACCCGAACGCGTCCTCGTTGTCGCCAACCTTGCGGTTGTGCTCACCCCACGCGCGCAGGACGTTGTTCCCCGCGAGCGACGCGAGCTGCTGCGCGATGCACGCAACGACAAACGCGATGAAGCCCGCCTTGGATGCTGCCTCGATGTACTGCAGGTACACATCGCGCTTTACACGGCCCTGCTCAATGTGTTCCTTCGTCGGGCCGTCGGACACCGTGCGGGTAGGCAGGCTGTTGATAAGTGTCGCCTTGCCGTAGCTGCGTCTCCTGACCAGCTTCTTGTCCAGGCTCTCGAGCTTCTCTTCCGTGAGGATCTGCGAGCTTGTTACGGCGGTCTCGCCTTCCGACGAGGGCGTTGAGCTGTTGACAGTGGTAAACGGCGTCGAGACGCCCGAGGTCGGCAGTGTCCCGTGGCCCTTGCTGCGCATACGATGAATGTTAGGATGCCTACTCTCTGCTACAAAAACTCACATGAGCTTGTGTAGCTCGGATTTGTTGTTGTTCACAAGTTCATGGTACGGGCCAGATTCAAGGATGACACCGCGGCGAATGTAAGCGATCTGGTCGAACTGCTTCAGGAAGTGTATGCTGTTGGTGACAACAATCCTGGCTTTCGTCGCGAGGATACCGCTGGGACCCAGGGCGTGATCTTCGACAATGTCAGTATTCCGTTACGTAGAGCCCGAGGCGAGTCTGCATACTCACCGAAGACATGACGAGCGACATGGGAGTCAAGCGCAGCAAGAACATCGTCGAGCAAAATTCTGCTCAGGATGTCAATACACTAC